GAGGAATAGCAACGTGAGAGAAGCATCAATCAGATGCCTCCCCTATGTGCCCCTGACCAGGGATTGAATCCAAAACCTAGGTATGTTGTACACGGACAATACTTCAACCAACTGAGCCACCTGACCAGAGCTGGGTTTTGACCAATTTATAGTGACATGTATTTACCCTTATAGCATCACAAAGAGTAATTTCACTATTCTAAAAACGTCCCATACTCCAGCAACACTTTTAATGTGGCTTAATTACTAGTAGGGCTAGAAGATTCCATTTCAACATTGTTCTTTTTCAGAATGTTCCTGGCTATTTAAGTTTATTTTTCTGAGTTTTAGATTCAGCCCATTTGAGATAATGTTAAGTTTATGAATGAACTTAGGAAGATTAAACATATTTATGATGTAGAGTCTTCCACATAATATTATAAAAGTTTTAAAGACTAAATTAATTACAACAAGGCATACAATTTCTCCAGTCTCTTGAACACTTTAAGCTGATGGATAAATGATCATCTCCAGCAATCTGAACAGTAACTAATTTTCGATAAATAAGTAAGTCACAATCCTTTAGGAGGCCTTCCTTGATTAACCCTGTTATCATTTCTCCCAGTTTTGAAATCCTAGGTATTTCCTGCATGGCATTTGACACTTAACATATTCTATTTTATATTCCAGTGTGCTTAACAAATGACTGTCAAGTATGGAGGTGACTTTTCCTTGGGTGACTTCCATAAACACACAGGAAACCAATGTCACATCTGACTTCCACACAGGGATAATCCATCTCCCTAATTCTACTGAATGAATAGGTACTACACTGGGAGTGGTTATACAGCTTTGTGGTGTCTTATCAATCCCAACACTGAATGAAATCGCAAGTATACAAAGCTAGAAGAAGCTTTTTATAATGACATCATAAAGGAAAGATTTGTGGATGTGTGGAGAAAAGCAAACTAAAGAGTCCTCCTGTTTTTTTTCTCTTGCTGATGTACTTTTAGGCAAGGGGCTAAGCAGAGAACCTTGTAAAACCTCAGGAGTCTACTTTTAGAGGCCATGGAGTAGGAACTAGAGGAGTTAGAAAAACTGCAGAAAGGAAGAAGAATACAGGGAGAAAATTCACAGTAGCTGCAAATATGAAAGGGGAGTCCATCCATTCATTCAACAAAGATTTGCTAAGTATTTATTATATGTCACACTATGCTTCGTGTTGGTGGATGTGAATAAGAACCGTATGTTTATCTTTATGAAATAACTAATTTTTAAGTACACAGATGAAGAGATGACACAATAGGTGAAAAAGGAACCCTGACCTATGAGTCACAAATTAAATAAACTCCCAACATGTTTAAAGTGGACTTTTTCTAAAAATAAATAAATTATAAATAAATAAATAAATAATAAAGTGAACACTTTCTGATGCCAATCCATGCTATGGTGGGCAGTTTAATGAGACATGGAATCTCTTCACACCTTTCTTATATAGGTCAAATGCTTTCCCCACAAAAATTGTTTTTTTGCAGTTTTAATGTATATTCAATTTTCCAGGATAGTAATCACCTTATTAACCAAGTGAAGAATGAACTTGGTTTTTATTTGGAAATCTGATAAGAACTGATCACTGTCATGAAAAGTCCTACCTCTGAGGCAATATGACCCATCTAAGTCAGTCTGCATTTGCAGTTTTTGCATTCATGGTGCAAGTAACTAAAACTATTTCTTAATTTCTAGTATAGTCATGCCTAAACATTTACATATTGAAATGTAAATACACATTACTTAATTATAAATTCTTTTATTTATTCCTTGTATTACAGTTAGAGCATTACACTGATTTTTTTTCTTTAAAATTAAATATGGAAGTAGGTTGTACTTATCTATGAATTTTATTTCAGGATAGTAAAAGGTGAAAGACAAAGTATGTGCAATAAAAAGAGAAAATGGAGTGTAACAGGAGTGAGAATCAGTGTTCTACACGGCAAATTCAGATTTTGGAAAGAATAATGAATTAATTTTTGCTTACCTTTTTCAAAGGAACTTTGAAAGCAATAAAACGAGTTCCAGGCATCCTCTGTCCAACTGGGAGATAGTCTTGCCACCTGTTAATACATTTTTGTTAGCCAAATTCTCTTAGCCTTTCTCCCTGCTGCTCCACTTATTCAACCCTGCCTAGTTCCCTGTCCTTTCCTTCTTCCTGTTTCCCCATCTTGAAAACAGATACAAGGCAACAGAACAATGCAAAGGTCTCAACAAATGAGGCATATCTAACACCAGAGATGGCCAGAACTTCTGTATCCTTGATAAAATTTAGCCCCACCCTAAATATTAAGGTGCCATTAATAGATACATGTTGACTGAAATAGTTTAAACTCAATTCTTTCACTTCACAGTTCATTTTCAGTCCTCATACAACTGATGCCATCAAATTCGATGAGTAGGGAACTTAGAGTTCATATTGTAAAAAGAAATCTTGATAGAAAGGGGACTGTGAACTTTACTTAGTAGTGCTAGGCGTCACCGTGAAAAGTAATATTTGAGCTGACTTGTCAGATGAGTTAGAATTAACTAAGGTTGATTCAGTGTATCTGAAGCATAGAAAGTGAGGGAAACGTGGCACAAGTTGGGGCTAGAGAAGCAGACTGGAATCTAGAAAGGACAGTCTTAAAGGCCAAGGTAAAAAGTTTGTTTTTATTTTTGATAAGTTTTTGAGCGATGTTTATGAGCAATGTTCCAATTTGCCTACTAAAAAGATTTATGTGAAGAATGGATTGGAAGGAAACAAGAGTAGATGGATATAGGTACACTAGTGAGGACCTAACTGCAATGCATCAGGCAAGTTCTGTATTAGGCTGCTGACAGAGAGAAACTGATTCAAAATATTTTCGGGAGATAAAATGAAGGGGACTTGATGAGATAGCAGGTGGAAGAAAGGAAGGTCTGGAGGAATAAAAGTGTTCACTGCACATATAAGCAAAGTCTCAACATTAATCATTCGAACCTACAGAAAAATATCTCTCGAATGAGACTTGTGAGGAAGCAACAGTATGTCCTTTGTCTTTCCTGGAAACAATAAAAAACCAACTTTTTCAGTTAAAAGTTCAGCGGTACTGGTGGTGTTTTCCACTCAAACTTGGTACTTGTTATTAACATTTTCTGTGTCAAAATACCACAACTTCTGTGATTAAGGGGGACTCTATTTTGGTAATGGGCCCCCAAAACTGACAGACCCATCATGTCCCTCCGCATTTGACCCGAGCGACGACGGCCAGAGCCCCGCTTTTAAAAGGATGGAAGAAATCAGAAAAGCACAGACCGTCCCTCCCTGCTCCCGGGGGCGGAGCACCGAGAGGGTCGGGCCTCCCCGCGAGGCGCGGGCCGGCCCAGAGCTCCGCGACCCCGCTCAGCAGCGCGACCCGAGAGGAAGCCCGAGCCGAGGGGAAGAGACGAGCAAGGGCCACGCCCAGGCGCCCAGGCAGGTTACCTTTCCGGGATTTGGTTCCCACCCCTCTTCTTGGCCGACGAACGTCCAGAAAAGCCGTGTCCCCGGCCCCAGCCGCCGCGGGCACGGTGCCATTGGCTCATGTGGGTCCGAAGATACCGCTCACCCAACGCCAAAAGCGCCAAAGTAGCCAGTGCAACTCCGTCGGAGCCAAAACAAGATGCTGCACCGGAAGCTCCTACACAGCAGCCTACGCAGCTCCACCTCCCACCCGGCTCCTTGCTAATGCGCACGCGCCGCCGCCCGTCGTGATGACGTCACCGGCGGGCTGACTGAAAAGCGCGATCAGGGAACAGGACTCTAGTGCTGTGGCGCCCCCCTCAGCTGGCGGCCGGTAGCACAGGGCCATGAGTTCACGCACATGCCCTGCAGAGTTCACCACAGCACGAGGAATGAAGGGTTAAGTCCCACTCCCCCGGTGCCTAGTGAGGCCCGCCCAGATATTTTCCAAGTGCTTCCATTCACACTTATTGTACAGTGTATATAAATATTTGTTCAAATGTGGATATTCTCCATTTTATACAAAATCAACATACTATATAGTCTACAATATACCTACAAAAATATTGTAATTTTTCCAATTTATATGAACATCCGTTCTATTGTTTTTAATGGCTGCATAGTATTTCTCTGTTAGCATGCACCATTATTTATATAACCAAGCCAATACTGATGGACTGATGGTTGGTTGCAGCTTTTTCTCCTCCATTACAGGCAGGCTGCAATGTGAACATCATAAACATGTATACAACCATATCAAATTCCTATAAGTAGAATTTCTGGTATGAAGGATATGCAAACTTAAAATTTTGAAAGGTAATTTTTAATTACCCTCCAAAAATAGTGTTAACCTATGCTCCCACTCACAATGAAACTTTTATTGGGTTCCTATCACGTACCAGGAAGTATGTATTGACATTTTTTTAAATGACAAAAAATAACTGAGAGACAAGAGTAGAGCTCAAGTCTTAACATTTCCATACACTATCATGCGTAGAGATCCGTATGTTAGAAAAATCTCAGTTCTGCTATAAGTGAAACAGAAAATAACAGCAATGTCCTAGAGTAGGTCTGAAGGCAGATTAGAATACCAAATTTCAGATTAAACTGTAGGTAATTATAACAACAAGTTTTTTGGGTTTTTTACTTTTTAGTTTCTAATTTCCAAAAGTACCTTATATACACTGTTACTAATCTTCATAACCATTTGAGATTTAGGTCAACTGAGGATCAGAAAGGTCAGTTATTGAATGAATGAATGAAGATCACTAGTAAGAAGATCACTAGTTTTTTTAAAAATGTTTTTATTGATTTCAGAGAGCAAGGAAGGGAGAGGGAGAGAGAGATAGAAACATCAATGATGAGAGAGAGTCATTGATCAGCTGCCTCCTGCACACCCCGTACTGGGGATCCAGCCCAAAACCTGGGCATGTGCCCTAACCAGGAATCAAACCATGACCTCCTGGTCATGGATCGACAAATCAGCCACTGAGCCACACCAGCCGGGCTAAAAGATCATTAGTTTTAACATTTCTGGGACAATCATATTCTAACCAAGTTTATATCCACAAGCACTTACGATTCTGAAAATTTCCACATAATTAAAAATAGGTTAATATTAGTAAATTGCTATTTGAAAAAGATATGTAAGTTAGCACAGTACAGTTTGCAAACATACAGTTAGCCACATTCAAATTTGGTGCTAAAACGGTTTCCAGAAAGTATGGGACCTAGCAAAGAGTAGGCCTTTGGATGGGAGTGAATCCAACATGAGGTGAAATGATGCATTAATAGGTATGCAGTACACTGGAATGGGAAACATAGGAGCAAAGGATATTTGGAGCACCAAACAGCTAAGTAGTTGACAGTATAAAATCTAGCAGTATCTGGTAGGGACCCAAGTACCAGGTAGGGATTTGAGGACTTCAGTCTTTAATTAAATTTAAAAATCAGGAGTAACAAAGAGTCCAGGGGTAGATGGACTGGGTATGTTTCATCAAGAAAAGTCCTACTTATCCCAGTGGGTACAAAATGTAGGAAGTGGATCTATGGGACAAGACAATACCCTGACTACAAAAAGAGGACTTTAGGTCAGGATAGAGCTTGATGATAAGTTTCAGACTGTCAGACTAAACTTTATGTTCCTCCCCCTGCATTTAGGATTCTTTTAGCGGTTAAGATGATGCTGAGCCCAAAAGCTACAGTTAAATGGCTGGAACTATGGAGAGAAAATAGTTACAGAGGCTGAGAACCAGGAAAGGCCTAATTAAGGGTTTGTCTAGATAGAATTGAATGTTGGAATTGAATATTTTAACATGTAAATATTTTACTGCTACCAGAATTTATCTGTTATAGCATAGCAAGAAGCCAAGAAGAAGGAGGAAGAAAATTCCAGGACAAGTGGATAGGGGAAACTAAGACAGATAATTAAACAGCAGTTTGCAGCCACCTAGTAAATTCTATCTTCCCTAAACCAAGGATACTTAAGAGTATATGGTTTTCACTTCTCCCCAACCAGATAGTAAATAGCTTAAATCACCCTACTCAGGGAGACAGATAACAGAAACCCAATTATGTGCCATTTGCCAACCACACCCAAAGACTGACAAATTAAGAGAATAATTTGGTATTATTTGGTAAAATAAATCTCATTTTGGTACATCAACATAGAGCTGATGATTATTCTATTGACTTTCCCCTAAGACCTTCCCTAAACGCCCAGTCTTTAAAACCCCTGAAAATGAAGATCCCAGCCCTCTGTCCCTACACAGAGCACACCCATGTCATTCCCTTTCCCCTCTACTTCCCCCACAGGCTTGTATCCCCTAACCTCTAAGGGACTCCATGAGAATTGCAACGGGAGCAATGGTCCTTGTTTCACTGTCCTGAGTATGTTTTTGCTGCGGTCAATAAATTCTTGCTTGCTTTCTACACTTTGTCTCTTGATTGAAATCTTTCCCTCAAAAAGACAAGAACCTAGGTCTCCTCGTCGCCCCAGTAACATCTCCACACTTCCCCCAATCTTACACCAACCATCCTAACCTGCAGTAGCTATGGATTCTTTTGATTTCCATGGGAAAACAGAAAAATAAAATTAAAAAAAAGACTGGTCTGGCTTGTAGATATTTAGTATATACTGTTAGCCTCAGGTTACATACTAGTATCACGGAAGTTGGTGATCTGAGGTATGAAGCTTAGGGAAAAAACCTTGAAAAAAATTTAAAAGTTTAAGCCATATCTCTAACTGCAACACCACTCAGTATGTTTCTTCTCAGATAAGCATCATCCTCCATCTTTGGAAAAACTCATATCTCATAAAAGGAAAAGTAGGCCTATAAATAAAATGTCTCTTTGGAGATCCCATCTATGGGTTACCCTCTTGTGGGCTCTTGGCATCTTATGTCATACACTTCCTACTCACTGGCATTAAAAAGCCCCCAGAAAGATTGATCTAGGCACCCCTAAAAGCTTAACATCAAGAAAAATGATTAGGTGCATAGATTTCCTCCCCAAGACCAGCTTAATCCATATACCAGTGGGGCAAATGTAGGTTTACAGTTGTGAGTACATGAAATACAGATTTTTGTATTAATATTTATTAGTTGCGTAGTATTTTCCATACGAACAACTGTACACTTACTTTTGATCCACCCTGTATAAGTCATTAGCAACTCAGCCATAACTCACAGTCACAAGAGTGATTAGTGGAAAAAGCACTAACCAGGGGGCAAAAAAAGGCAACACAGGCCAAGTCGGGCTGAGTGCACACATCTATCTGTTCCTTATGCTTGGCTGCACAGTGTAACTCATCACAATGCCTTTTTCACACACCACTTTTAAGTTTCTCCACAAAATCCATCAAGTCAAGTTAATGATGCTTTATGTAAATAAAGTCAGCAAAAGAAAAACATGCAATATGACTTGCAATGGTAGAATCTTAAATGATACAACTAGGAAAAAACATGTGGACAGAACCAGAGCATTGATACAGAGCATAAAAACAATCAATATTCTAAAAAACACACACCAATGAATGATATAAATAAGGTAATACATAAAGTGAAAACTATATTTAAGATTATTCCCTTTAGGGAACAGAATTCATGGCAGTTGCTGCACAACCTAATGTAAATATATATACACACACACACATATATATACACACACATGTGTGTGTATATATGTGAGTGTGTGTGTGTGTGTATATATATACATATATATATATATATATCTGTTGTTAATGCACAATGCAACCAAAATGTGTCAACTTCTTTCTCACAGAAACTAAAAAGTCCCCATGAATCTCCTTTATCCTGTACACATTCACCTTGTCTGTCCCTACACTCCATGAATGCCCTGTCTTTCTCTAACTATTCGCCTTTTCATTTTTGCCTGGCCTTTCACCCAAGTACGGCAGGCAGAGAACTCTACAGGCCGAAAATTCTAGTGGCTGTTTGCAACGGGGGAGGAGGCTGCAGTAACTGCCACACTGGATACACGTTATGTGAGAAGGAAAAAGGATAATATGGTGACTGCCCCTCATATATAAAAGAGCAGGACGGCAGCATGCCTATGTGGCCCTGGAACCAGAGGTTGCAAGTTATGGGCACAACAACTGCAACCAAACACTGGAACAGGAAAGGTCTGCAGTCAGCTGGCTCCCAGCTCCTTGGTATTTGCTTCTAATGGGAAGAGTCTGTTTTGGGAAACACCAGACACTGAAAAGAAGACCCCTGCTGCTGGGAGTGGACAGCAAGTAACACCCATGAGTGTAAGAATGCAAGAGCAAAGCTTGTCTAGAGACCATGCCTGCAACGAAGAAGAAAAAAACCAGAGAAGAGAGCTCAAGTCCAGCCTGGCCCAGGCCAGCCCAGCCCAAGGCAGGCAGGGTCCAAGGAGAGCTAAAAGAGAAGAGCCTTGGGCCGCCTCATTCTCCACATTGGGCACTCACCAGGCTTCACCTTACCCTCTAGCCAAATCCCCAAAAGAGCTTTGTAATCCCTTCCCTTGCTCCCCAGAGGCTGCAGTAAATTCCCTAATCAGGTGGGCGGATATGATTCACAACTGTAATTGTGCAACCTAGATGTCCCTTTCCCTTCTCTCTTAGGATATTAACAGTACATATAATGATAAATATACATGTTCTACGATATAACCTAGAGAATATAAGTAACCACTAGCTAATTATATTAACTAATGACCATAATAAACACTGAGATTATTTCCCTAACACAAGGGCCTGGGGAAAGTGAGACTATCATATCTGTGTTGTCAATTAGCACATCTGTCTCCAGAACTCAACCATTTAGGTGATGGTTTAGCTCCCCAACTGCTCCCTCCATCCTATCCTGCCTTCTTCTTGGGAACCTGACCTCCCTATTGGCTCTCTCATCCTTTTAAACTGCCTGCTTTGTGACATCAATCTCCCACCAAACCTGCCACCACCAGTTAGAATCTGGGGTTTCCATGGAGCTGTCTGTAAATAAATTTGGATCATCACAACTGACCAGTGACCAGTGTGACCAGTATCCTTCCCTACTGGACACATGCGCTTTCTGGCTCCAGCCACTCAGACACCCTCATCACTTGCATCTACAGTTGATAATTCGTCTTCTCTGACCATGTCAGGTAAGGAAAGGGACCTTTAAGGGTTTTCATTACATATTGTTTGCCCCTAAATTTATCAGTAGAGTCAAAACAGCATAGAACAGCGGGGAAAAGCATTGATCTAGAAATCTGGATGCCTCATTTCAGTTTTGATTTTGACATTTACTACCTATGTGACTTTGGACAAGTCACTGACTCTCTCACAAAACCTGTTTCTTCCTGTTACATTAGGATGTCAGATTGGTTGTTCTCTCTAATCCCTTTCTTTTCTAATATTGAGTCTTAAAGGACACCCATATAGAAAATGAAATCAAGACTTCTGGAGAGTGTTTCAACAGAAACAGAGAAAACCTAGGTGACGTAGAAAACTAGCTATACATATACACAGTCTCCCGCCACTAATGTTTCAACATTAGGATTTTAAGTTTAGTGCTGTTCAAAAAGTAATATTCACGTGTTTTTGGAGTTTTCTATCCACACTAGGTGAACTGAGAAAATAGGGAGAGAGGAAGGAGAGTACTGGACTATAGGGGGACAAGTATTTCAATGTAAGAAAGTTTAGGATTGTTTTCATCAGCACAGGCCAACAGGAACCAAGAGGGAGGGAGAAACCTAAGCATGAAGGAGGGGAAACTCTAAGAATGAAGAGGAGAGCATGGAAGAGCTCTCAAGAGCAAAAAAGGTAGTTTGCAATGGAATGAAGATTTTAAATTAAAGCAGAAAGCGCAGGGTGAAATCTGCTCAGAGTAGGGCATAATAACATTGGTTTTAGCAAATTCTTACATTAATAGCCTAGAAAGGAAAGTAAGGCCAGAACAGGGTATCACTAGGCAAAGCAGCATATCAAAAAAGTCATATTCAGTTGTCTGTTTTTCTATTGCCTCTCTGAACATGGGCGGCACTTGACACTTTTAAGTATAAACATTTAAAAATGTATTTTAGAAATGTTTTCTATAAACAAGAAACTAATAAAGGTGGTTATCTAGGGGACAGGAGGAAAACAGAATATTCAGTGTTTCACTTGATTTGGACTTTTGAACTATGTAGATGCTTTCTCTATTAAAAATAAAATTTTAAAAAGTGGCATATCCTAACTTGAATCAGAAAGACTAATTCCTTTGGGTGACAAGTATGTTCCAAGTCAAAGCTGCTTGTCATCTTTAGTTATTTTCTCCTGAACACAGAGAGCACTGAGAAGCAGACATCATCTCCTTTTAGAGCTTCGCTACCAAAGGATAAAAAAGAAAAGTGAAGCCCCAGATCTCTAACTTCAAGTTGACCTAAAAACAATTTTGTGGGATCTCTACAGTAAACATTTTTTAATTAAATACCAGCAATGATGCTTTTTAGGGCTTTGGGTACAACCCTTCCCTGGATGTTGAAGATTATAATCTAGGCTTTAAGATAAATATACAAACTTTCAGGATACTTTTTTAGTGTTCTTCACTGTTTGTTATGTGGTTATATTAACCGAAATCTGTATTTCTACTAGACTTAATATGTTACTTGCTGGATAATATTCAGAAGAACATGAATGAGCAGAATAATGGAATTCCTTTACATATATTTTGCTCTCTGCTTTATATCAATTTTACTGAAATATTTGTCTATATATTTTGGGGCTCCCTATACATCCACGTTTATGGCTTTTTATGCAGTTTTTACTGATATAGTTTCTCTGTTCACATGTATTGCTAGGAATTCATTCAAAATCACTGTGTATTGTGGGCTGTTTTTGGTTAATAGTATTCACGAAAATAGAATAGGCAAAATTCACTCTTATAATACTGCATGTGTGAAATAGAACTTCACTCATTAGTCCATTATGTTTTGATGCTTGCTACATGCCTCAATTTTCATTAATGTCTATATATTTCCTTGCAGTTCTGAGATACGTCGTTCATGACTTTTCTCTTTATCTTTCCAGAACTTCAATCTTGTCCCATATTAAGTATATGTAATATATCATTTATTCATGTAAAAATTATAACTGTTATTGTAACAACTTTATAGATCAGTAACCAAAAGCTCAAAGAGTTTAAATAATGTGTTTCTTTCAAAAAGCACTTCTTGAGAAACTCTCTCTCAGATAGTCATTTAGAGGTAGGATCAGAAACCAGGCTTCAAGAGTAAGAATGACCCTTTAAATTTAGCACCTGCACTGAACCATGTGTGAGTTCGAGGGAACAGCATGTGAACTGTGCAGGCAACATGGGGTCTTGAAGATTACAAAGGCAAGAGCTGTACTGTTTTCTCATGGACAATAGAACCCCTATATTAGAAGCTCTACTGCTCCCAGTTTGGGGCAGAATAATGCTCAGAGCAGAACCCTGGCAAGAAAGTCAGGATGCTTAGGTTTTGTAACCTGGAAATAATACTGACAGAATGGGAGAACTTGAACAGGTCTATCTGACCTCTCTGAGTCTGTTTCCTCACTCATAAAATAAGAATGTTAGAACAGAGGTTTCCCTAAAGAATCCTGGTTCTAAAATGCTTCAATTCTAAGGAAGAGCATAGAAATCAATACTAGTGCAGGCTCAAGGGAAACATAAGGCAGGGAGCGATAGCTTCTAGCCTAGAGAGCAATGTATGCACCACACCACTTGGGCCTTAAGCACAGTTTCGCCCAAGTTGGGAGCACAAGCAGTTCATACACGAGAGTAGCAAATTGTTCCAGCACTTACAACCAGCATACACTGATTTCTGATACTTCAGTGAGTATCGGTATTAGAGGCTTTCTGATAGGACCAATCTTAAGTTAATGCAATTCTATAAACATAGTGAGTAAGGTTTTCAACCTCTGAGTTCTTCATCACCCTCTTTGTCCCCTACAGAGAATTTCCAAAATCCACCTTTACTTGGAGCTTCAGAGTCTCTGCAGCTCTCTCTGCCTGCAGTGAGCAATGCAGCCTCCCTAGCAGGAAGTGTCTCCAATTTCTCCAGTGTCTTTCCAACCACTAATGGGCAGTGCCTACCTTTACCAACATTCTAGCACAACTATGTTGTCTGGAGTGACTGGCCAGAGCCAGATCTCCACTTCGGCTGCTTCCAATCCTGGTCTTTTGCAGTGGGCTCTCACAGGAGGCACTGAAAAGAAGTCATCATCACTCAGAGACTTCACTGTGACTGTCACTGACCAGGACACAGCTGTTTCTTCCATGTCTATGACATCCCAGTACAGTAAAACCTCAGATGCCGGTAACATGGTCCCTCTGTATCCATCCCTTTCTGCCAGCCTTGTTCAGGGGGCACCATCTCAGATTCCAAATCAGGGACATAGCCTGTCACTTCCCTACCAGGAAGGAAGTCAGGTGTATTACTATAATCAAGGCACACTGAGGCCTCTGCTCTCTGGAGAGCGGGGTCCCTACCTGCAATCCTATGGCTCTATGTCTTACACAGAGAGCAGGGCCTCTGCCCCTCAACCAGAAATGGTCATGGTGCTAAAGGAGGTCCAGCCCACAAATGTGATGCCACCAGCCTCGACCTCTGCAATTTACTACTCTGTGCCTGCTCAGCCCATCACAGACACCAGTTTTCAAGGTGAGTACCAACAGCAAGAGGGAAGAGAAATAGGGTCAGCATTCAAATATGGGGTCAACCTACACCTGGAAGTGGTAAGTCCACACACACATAAGATTTAAGTCCTGTGACCCTATAACTACTGCCCACAATCAGTGCTCTCCATTTTCAGACTTTGTGAGAACTTAATAGAGGTGGAAAGGCAGACACTATAACAGCCATGTATGCTGCATGTGTGAGAACCCCAAGAGCATGCTGAGGGATCCCACACTTTTCAGTGCTCTGTCTGATTAGTCCCCCTAGACTACCACACAGTAATGAACTCCCTTCCCTGATTTACTGCCTTATTCTCCTTGGAAGGAATTTCAAACTCTTATTGTGACAGTGCCAGTTTAACTTTCCCTCACGTCCTTAGTTTACACCAGGGTTTAAGACCTTGTGTCCCAAGATCTTGCCCAAAGCAAGCAGGCTAAGAATCTGTCCTTGCTTATTGATTCCAGCAGGAAGAGCTCCATTCCTTCTCCTAGTCCCTGGTGTGTGTGAAGTGTTCTTCTTCCCTCAGGAAAGTGGGGAGAATTAGGAGGATTCCGTATGAACAATGCTAGCCTTGTGAAATGTTTAAAAAATCACTTTTACTTTTCATTTGACTTACCACAACCTTGTCAAATACAAAGAATACCCTGAAAATTACATCAGATGATCACCAGTGAGAACTAGAACAGTTGCCTCCTATCTCCTAGCACAGGGCACTGCCCATGATCCTTCAGATGAGCTAGTAGGAATGCCTTTCCCATTGTTGGAAGGTGCATGATCGCTGCATTGCTAGCGACACAAGAGCACCTTACTAACCAGGGACTGACTGACTTCCCCTTGATTCCTTTGTAGTGATGGAGACCTCCCTGGGGATGGAGACTTCCCTGGGATTGCAACCTTCAAGCCAAACATTCTGTCTCCCAAAGACTCCAGAATTCCCCAAGTCCTGCAGCAGCAGCAATATTCAGATCCTTGAGAGTATCCCACCACCTGAGCTTGGGGACATTGCAATGGCAGCTCCAGTCCAGAGTCCTAGTATTTTCCTGGCACTGCCTCCAGCTCCAAGTCAGGAAATGAAAGAGAACAGGAATTTGGATGATATTAAAACTATGCTTTCAAAGCCTCTGGATGCCTACCAGATCCCAACAGAAAACCAAGATCCTCCACTACTCCCTTTAGAAATCCCTGATATTCACCAGCTCCTGGCCTGCATTGATCCCCCTGGCCAAGAGGAGCAGCAGCCTGGCTGTGAAAATGCTGGTCTGGGAAAGAAGAGCCTGAGTCTTAAGGGCCAAGGCACACTTGAGAATGGGACTGAATCTAATGATGGTTTTGCAGACATCGCTACACTGGTGGAGGATATTCAACTCCCACAGGTCTTAAATTCCTTGGATGACCTCGATCAATCCAAAGGTCCCAAGGTGATCAAAACCAAAGACACCAGACCCATCCAGTTGAACGAGGTGCAGAAAAAGTCAAGTGGCATAAAGGCTCCCTCTGATCAAACTGGGAAGAACAAACATAAAGCCTCTGAGCCAATCAGTGGTGCTCCTAAGGCCAAAATCAAGCCTGAGAGCCCAGACTGCATGTTCCTGGGAGAAGTGGCTGTTTGCAATGCTGCAGCCAGTGACAGGGCTCCTGAGAACACGGCCAAGCTTTCTAACAGCAAACCTCAGAAAGCTGCCTCCAGCAAGATCAGCAAAACTAAGAGCCATGGGCAGGAAAAGACCAGAAGAACCAAAGAAAACAACTCCAAGAAAGCTGGAGAGAGTAAGCAGTCAGGGAACAAAGCCAAAGCAGAGGAGAAGCCAACCATTCCCAAGATGAAGAGGAAGAAAAATCAACCTGAGCTGACCCAAGAGACCTTCAAAAAGCCTCGGAGCTCCCTAGGTATGCACATGCTGGAGTCTGTGCAGGTTTTTCATGCACTGGGGAAGAAGAGTGATAAGAAAACTGAACTCTCTTCCTCTCGGACCTTGGGGAACTCAAGCAACCCCAAAGGCCCCCAGCCACCCCTAGCTATGGAACGATGGCTGGATACCCCTCGTGAGGGCAAAGGTCCTGAGAAAACTCAAGTCAAACGCCAAAAAGTGGAGAGCAGTGCTGAAAAAGAGTGTTCATCTCCATCTGAGTATGAGCTGCCACCTCCTGGGAAGGTCAAGGTGATACCTTTGGTTTTCCCAACCTTGGACAAGCCTCAAGCTCGACCTATTCCTCACAGGCCACAGTATGGCATCATGTTGGCCTGCTGTGGATAACCCTGCCCAGTCTGGTTCTAACTCAGCCCAACCTACAGCAGTAAATTCATCACAGCCAACTCCTGCATCTATGACAGGGTCCTGTCAGACCAGCTCGGCCAGTTTCAACCAACCCTGCCTGACCTGGTTCTAACTCAGCTCAACCTACTGCAGTCAATTCATCCCAGCCAACTCCTGCATCTTTGACAGGTCCTGCCAGACCAGCTCGGCCAATTTCAACCAACCCCGCCTAGCCCAGTTCTAAGTCAGCTCAACATACTACAGTAAATTTATCCCAGCCAGCTCTTGCATCTTTGACAGGTCCTGCCAGACCAGCTCAGCAAATTTCAACCAACCCAACCTGACCAGGTTGGACCAACCCTAACGGGTCTAGTGACCCTCAGTCCGCTGCTTCTAGGCCTCCACCCTACAAAACATCTACTTGCACTTCTTTCCAGTGGGAACCTTTTCGCATGGCTGTGACCAAGCCCTGGACTTCACCCAAGCCTCAAAACCAGTATCTACTCCAAGATTTTGCCCACAAACCCCTTCCATGGAGGAAACCCGATGTTCCTGGGCCAGTCATGTCAACACTCATCACAAACGAGCAGAGGTCAGAGCAGGAGACCATAAAGAGAAAGGCTCAACTACAGCGTGAGAATTCTGCCAAATGCTCTTTGGAGAAAGCGCAGTCTTTCACTGAGAGGGAAAAAGAAATGAAAATTTCTTGATACTGCGACTATGCAATATAAGAGATGCTGGGATTGTTGGTGCCACTCTGGATACCTGCTGTTTTCCCATAGATATAAATTTCTCTATTCTGATATGTTTTAAAGCTTAATAAAAATGAATAAATAAATGTAATAGAATTAACAGATGAATAATAAAGAAGCCTTTTGAGGTTTGAGATGCTGTTAACTGTGGTTTTCTTTGGTGGGGTGGGGATCAGAAGCTGCATGAAAACAAGAAATTGGAAGTTGGGTGAATGAGGGACAAGGTGTAAGACTGAGGAAAAAGGAAGGAATTTTGTCTATGGCTAGAAAGGCCCAAAGGGAAAATGGAAAATGTCTCTCGTGGAGGCTGGTCTTATGTCTCATGACCACCAGGTAACTATTTTAGAAAACAGATTCCAAAAGGTTTGGGTTGCCTTCACCAGGTAGGATTGTAGTTGGGGAAGGTGAGTACAAATCAGGGGAATCTACCAGACGACTGACAAGGGTTTAAAGTTATCCTGAGGGCAGCTGATAACAGGGGCCTAGTCAAGTGAACTGCTGCAGTAGGGGGCCTACCCAGACAAGGGCGTGGGATTTAAATCACCATTTACTCAACACCTATGAACCAGGTCCACTAATGCATTACTTCATTTAACCTCACAACATTACAACATCACACAAGGCGAGTATCACTGAGCCACTTCAGTCCTGAGGTTCAGCAATGTGCTGAGGTCACACTGCATGTGGTGGAGGAAAGTCTCAGTTGGAGGTCTGTCTCCGAAGTCCTCAGTATTTGCAAGTGTCTCTAGGTGGCCAGCCTGGCTTTCAGAGCACAGCACCTGGAGGTTAGCTGTAGATGACATCAAACTTGAGGAGAAGCCGTTATAAGTATTAACTTAAGGGGCCAGTCAGGGCCTCCTCCATGACCAGGGCCATGTGTGCTACCTTGTCTAAACACCGCCATAAAGCCAAGCCCATGAGAAAAATCCATTGGAAGAGTCCATTCCCACGAGCAAGAGCAACAGGATCATGTGTGCACTGGGTCATCACTGGAACAGCTGTAGGATGCAGGAGTCAGTTCAAAGGGGCTCCTTG